TTTCTTAGCTTTTTGACTGATGTATGGCATCGTGTTATGCGTGTTCTATTGGAAAGCTAAGAAACAGCCAATAGACACACGCATAACACGATGCCATACATCAGTCAACTATTTCTTAGCTTTCCAATAGACACACGCATAACACGATGACATACATCAGTCAACTGTTTCTTAGCTTTCCAATATACACACACATAACACGATGCCAAACATCAGTCAACTGTTTCTTAGCTTTCCAATAGACACACACATAACACGATGCCAAACATCAGTCAACTGTTTCTTAGCTTTCCAACTAATTTCGTGTCTGTTTGACCCGACACTCTTTCTATAACGTTATTATCCAAATAAATATATATTTGAGCTCATTATAATTAACATTTATATTAGTTTGTTATATTAAACATAAAAACTTTTATCAATTGAAGATCGTTTCAATTGGTTCGACGTAAATAGGAGTATACAGCATACCGTGTCAAGCATGTTTTCAATGTGAACAATCTATAAGTATACAGCTTACCGTGTCAAGCATGTTTTCAATGTGAACAATCTATAATGATAATCTATAAGTATACAGTATACCGTGTCAAGCATGAGCAAACGGTTACATAAGAAACGAACGTGAACAATCTATAATGATAATCTATAAGTATACAGCTTACTGTGTCAAGCATGTTTTCAATGTGAACAATCTATAATGATAATCTTTAAGTATACAGCATACCGTGTCAAGCATGTTTTCAATGTCAATATCTATAATGATAATCTATAAGTATACAGCATACCGTGTCAAGCATGAGCAAACGGTTACATAAGAAACGAACGTGAACAATCTATAATGATAATCTATAAGTATACAGCTTACCGTGTCAAGCATGTTTTCAATGTGAACAATCTATAAGTATACAGCATACCGTGTCAAGCATGTTTTCAATGTGAACAATCTATAAGTATACAGCATACCGTGTCAAGCATGTTTTCAATGTGAACAATCTATAATGATAATCTATAAGTATACAGCATACCGTGTCAAGCATGTTTTCAATGTGAACAATCTATAATGATCTGTTACTTATTATAACAAGCATGTTTTCAATGTGAACAATCTATAATGATCTGTTACTTATTATAACAAGCATGTTTTCAATGTGAACAATCTATAATGATCTGTTAATTATTATAACAAGCATGTTTTCAATGTGAACAATCTATAATAATCTGTTACTTATTATAACAAGCATGTTTTCAATGTGAACAATCTATAATGATCTGTTACTTATTATAACAAGCATGTTTTCAATGTGAACAATCTATAATAATCTGTTACTTATTATAACAAGCAGGTTTTCAATGTGAACAATCTTTAATGATAATCTATAAGTATACAGCTTACCGTGTCAAGCATGTTTTCAATGTGAACAATCTATAATGATCTGTTACTTATTATAACAAGCATGTTTTCAATGTGAACAATCTATAATGATCTGTTAATTATTATAACAAGCATGTTTTCAATGTGAACAGTTTATAATAATCTGTTACTTATTATATCAAGCATGTTTTCAATGTGAACAGTCTATAATAATCTGTTACTTATTATAACAAGCATGTTTTCAATGTGAACAGTCTATAATAATCTGTTACTTATTATAACAAGCATGTTTTCAATGTGAACAGTCTATAATAATATGTTATTTATTATAACAAGCATGTTTTCAATGTGAACAATCTAATTACTAATTTGTTTCATGAAATAAATGCTTTATAATAATTTTAAGTAGTGTATTAATTGGATGAATTTCTAATTCTGGTCTATGTGGGTAGTTTGGTCAACCTCTGACATTATGTACACTTCAACCATACTGTTGGTGTAAACATGCTTTGTACACTTACTTGGAAGAAGGTGCTCAGATGAAATGTGACGTAGTCTGTTTCGGGGTCGATAGTGGCGTCCTTTGCCGTATGAATGTACAAATAGCCGACAAACCAGCTCACGACAATTGCAGCTAATGTAATAAAAGTCTGTAGAAAATAACACAAAATTATCAATTATGTTTTCACGGATTATTTCATATTAATAGTATTTCATTAATTCATTTCCAAAAGAAGCTAACTATTGTTTTCGGTCGTTTATACTATTTTATGTCGTGCAATGTAATTTTAAGAATAAAGTATCGAAAGATTTCAGAGACAAAATTGTTACAACTTGCTTTTAAAGACAGGTTCTGATTTATGTTTTGGAAAAAAGAAATTAGGAATAAATACCGAATTAAAAAATAAGAATTTTATTCAAAAAGTAACAAAAAAGCTAACTTTTGTTGAAATTTTGAACCAATGTTTCCTTCTTTATTAGCTAAAACTCAGATACAGAGGCTAAGATCATGTGTGACATACCAACAGTGGTTGTAGCAACAGAAGAGGCATCGCCCCAACAGCTCTTCCCGCCTCTTTAAACAGAGCAGACACCTATCAAAATTAGGAGAATTAGCCAGGATTTTAAATAAAAAGAAACACAAGAGATTAAGAAGAATTGTAATAAAGAGATGAACAGTTGGAAAAAAAAACGAAGAGCATCTCAAGATGAGAAACCAGTAAGGAATAAAAAAATATCAGATTTTTGATATATGAAGTAAGAAACCTTAACAGCATAAAAGTATAAATATTACAAACATATGTATACGTCATATGTATGTATATGTATATTGTCAGTGTTGAGTTTTTTGTTACATTTTTGGATTTACCGCTCTCACTAACTAAGATACGATTTATGTTTTTTACATTTTATTTAGCATTGCTGCCTGACTGAGTCGTCTATGTACATACATAAATAGACACACACACAAATATACAGACATATACATAAACTATACGCTAACATTGTGTAATATATACACATTACAAGCAAACAGATAAACCAAACAATAATGTTTAGCAACCATCAGCGTAAAAAGTTTACTTAACGAGTTTTTCATCAAGTAATGTTGCTTAGAAAGCGTTAAAAATTTACTTGTAGTGTTTTTGAATTCAGTGACACACACACACACATAGATAATAGTACTATTAAACTTTCACAACGTTCCATAACAGTACTATTAAACTGTCACAACGTTCCATAACAGTACTATTAAACTGTCACAACGTTCCATAACAGTACTATTAAACTGTCACAACGTCTCATAACAGTACTATTAAACTGTCACAACGTTCCATAACAGTAGAATTAAACTGTCACAACGTTCCATAACAGTAGTATTAAACTGTCACAACGTTCCATAACAGTACTATTAAAATGTCACAACGTTCCATAACAGTACTATTAAACTGTCTCAACGTTCCATAACAGTAGAATTAAACTGTCACAACGTTCCATAACAGTACTATTAAAATGTCACAACGTCTCATAACAGTACTATTAAACTGTCTCAACGTTCCATAACAGTAGAATTAAACTGTCACAACGTTCCATAACAGTAGTATTAAACTGTCACAACGTTCCATAACAGTATTATTAAACTATCATAACTTTCTTAAACAGTACTATTAAACTGTCACAACGTTCCATAACAGTACTTGTATGACAACTAATTATAGTATAACATTAGTGAATCCTCAACCATTCCAAGAAACAGTTATATTCTCACTCACCAGCTCAATCCTTTTCCTCATAACTATGATGATGAGAAGAAAGAAAAACTGTAATATAAATTAATAAACACATTATATCACGCATGGTGTAGTTAATAATAAAACCGTTTGTTATAATATATTATACGTTTCAAACAAAAATAACCCATGTCTTACAATTTAAATAGCCTAATTTATCGTTTATTTTATAAGCAATGATAGGACAAATAACACAGCATTGTATAACGTGATTACTGTTATATAAAACTTGAGAAAATAAAAAAAATATATCAAAATGGTTGTGCTCTGCATCCACTCCTCTCTAGTCAACCAAAATAGCTTTGTACAACCTAATCTGGTTGTAACCAGGATAACCAAGTTAATTCAACATAACTTTCGCCAGCTGTAACCAAGACAGTTTAAAACAATACGCTCTGGTGCCAAACTGGTTAGTTCTGAGAAATGTGTCTTGTTGAAACTAATATAATTCATCCTTCCTGGTTTATCAGTACAACTTTCCCAAGTTAACCAAGATAGTTTAGTTCAACTTTCCCTAGTTAATCAAGATTGTTCGGTTCAACTTTCCCTAGTTAATCAAGGTAGTTTGGTTCACCTTTCCCTAGTTAATCAAGGTAGTTTGGTTAACCTTTCCCTAGTTAATCAAGATAGTTTGGTTCACCTTTCCCTAGTTAATCAAGATAGTTTGGTTAACCTTTCCCTAGTTAATCAAGATAGTTTGGTTCACCTTTCCATAGTTAATCAAGGTAGTTTGATTCACCTTTCCCTAGTTAATCAAGGTAGTTTGGTTCACCTTTCCCTAGTTAATCAAGATAGTTTGGTTCACCTTTCCCTAGTTAATCAAGATAGTTTGGTT